CGAAAAAGAACTACTGCCGGCTGTGTGATTATTACATGCGGCCGTGTGATTAATATGGCGGCTCTGTAATGATCAAGGCGAATATTATTGTATCTGTAATAACTTTTAGCAGCGGAATACAAGAGGGACATTACTCGCTCTTTAGATATTATTGGAAAAACTACTGTGTGTAATAACCACTGAGTGTGCGGATCACACGCAGATAATGCGGATCACACGCTAATAATTATTAGCAGTTTTGCAAAAATATTTTGTTGGATTCTTCCAATACAAAATATTTTTGTACAAATTTTCCAAAGAGAAAAAATGTTTTAAAAGTTGCTAGATTATTTACAATGATGTCTTTCCGCTCATAATACATCATTTTTATCTGTATAATATATATATGAGCGATATCTAGTAATATCTGTAATATCATTACAGAGCCGCCATATTAATCACACGGCCGCATGTAATAATCACACAGCCGGCAGTAGTTCTTTTTCGTAAGGGCACCCTTACGAAAAAGAACTACTGGCAATAATATATTGCGGCAGTGGTACGAAAACATTACTGGCATTCTGTGTAATTGCCAGTAATATTCTCAGTGATTCCTGTAATACCTAATAATATTCTTATGTAATTGTCAGTAATATTTATATTACTGACTTTATTTATATGTAATCGACAGTAGTTCTTTTTCGTAAGGGCAGAGAATCACCCATATCTATATCTATATCTATATCTATATTATATATTATTTCTATATCTATATTTTAAAATATTTTTTTCTAATATTGTTTTTCTAATATTTTTCTGATATTGTTGAAAGTTTAATTTACTTTTGTGCCTTGCATAAAGAAGTTTATCGATAGCTACTTCAGGTCAGACAATCGTCATCTTTATCTTTAACATGGTGGTTTTTTATTTTTCCGACACGACAGATTGTAAAAGATATAAGAGATACAATAACGAGCAATAAAGCGAGGCTCGACGACTTTTTAGAAGATGTCAAATGCAAATTGCGCGTCTGCGACGGCTTGCTCGCGTTTTGGTCAAAATGCGTGGAGCACATCCGCGCGTTAGATGAAGTACGGGCTGTCCATGTTGCATCGTTATGCGATATTTTGCCGGAAGCGATCAAGATCGTTTTCGAGCATTGCAAAGCCAGGTACACAGACATACACACCTAAACTCATCTAATTCTTCCTAATTAAGAGTAAATCAATCTGTAGCGTACAAATAAATTATTTCCCTCTTCTTTATTTTCAATAAAAAACGTAATCATCCGCTAGTATTTTTGTTTATTTATTTTTTTTTATTATTCAGCTCGGAATACGGATCGTTGCTGGGCAGTGTCGCGGGAGAATTGAAGAATCTGTTCGCGACGGCGGGCGCGATCTTCAATCTATTCTTTGCCACTTTGAACAGTGTAATCGTCTTCGACACGAAGGTGCAATCGGAAACGGAGCTGTTGACGAAAGGTGAGAGCGATCCATCCATTACGTCCTAACGACTCTTTAACCTGAGAAATGTTTCCACTTTCGATCTTACATCGCGTAAGTGCATTTGCTTCCAAGAGTTTCAGCGCACTTCGATGTAATAGAAAAAAAAGAAATACATAAATTTCTTATGGTTTTGTTTTTGACTGAAGCAAATAGTAAAAAAAAAACGCCACTTTAAATTGTCGGACTTTCAGTAATCGATATGTACGGTAGCGTCGCTTCTCTCACAAATGGAATGGACACCAAGACCTTCGTCGAACTGTCCGAGGCGTTCGCCAAATTGGCCGTCGCTCATCAGCACACAATCAATCGGAACAGCGTCGCGACGCATTACGTTCGAATGATAAAAGATGTGTCTTCTCTTTTGCATGCCGTCAAGGTATATCAACGCATTACCAATATAAGCATAATTTATTTGAAATATCCAGTAAAAAGACCTTACAGCCTGTATGATCCACGGAAGGAAGTGGTTATATAATTATATATTAATTATTTTGGACGTTTCGATCATTTATTTTAGATCATCTTCAGCTGTTTAACAATAAATTACAAAATTAATATAAAAGAAGATAATGATTTATCCGATATAACAATATACACATCTTACTGACATGTGTTAGCGGTCATCTGGATTCGAGTAGATAAGGTGTGTATATTGTTATATCGCGGATAAATCATTATCTTCTTTTATATTAATTTTGTAATTTATTGTTAAACAGCTGAAGATGATCTAAAATAAATGATCGAAACGTCCAAAATAATTAATATATAATTATCGCATAACCACTTCCTTCCGTGGATCATACAGGCTGTAAGGTCTTTTTACTGGATATTTCATAATTTTTCTGGGCCTGTCAATTTTTTCTTATAATTTATTTGTTTCAACTCATTTGTTTATTAATTGCAATGACAAAGGATCAGCAAAGTAAAAAGGCGGAACGAAGCGCGATGGTTGCCACGCGTTTACTGAAGATTCTCGAGAAAATAACGACAGCTTACGGCACATTTCTCACGGAAAAAACAATGCCGGACTTGGTGGAACTGTTGGCCCAATTACATGGGTAATGCGATGCTACTATTACACTTTTTTAGTCTCAAAATAATTCTCCTAATTGTTTTTTTTTTTTTTTTTTAAAGAAAAACTCATTTTTCTATTTTAGATATTCGTGCTTGCGTTTAACAAGAGATGGCGAGAAGACAATCTCAGTCGGCGCTGCTTTCTTCTTAGCTCTTTTATTTACTTCTCACACCAATCATTTCAGAGAAGTATGTATGTGATTTCTCTCTTCTGTTTCTCGAAAAAAATTTAAACACATTAAAGAAGTGAGACAATAATGTTGTGTTTTTTTTTTGTAATTACTTGCATTTCACAGGTATATTTCGACTATGGCAAGCGTGTCTCGCTCCATCAGGATCGATTGAATTATCATCTGCTAACGATCGCCGTCATAAAAAAACTGAGTGATTTGCCGTCGCACGTACGTCTCTGGACGAACGTAGATTCGATCTTGGACGTTGCTCTTACACATATAGAACATAGTAAGTGTGACAAAATAAATACATAAATTTTAAAAAGTCACACGATTACTACAAAGCTCAATCATTTTTCTCAATCATTTGCTCAATTTTTTTTATTTCGTTTAAGTTAAAGAAGAAATTTGCGTCGGAGAGCTGCGAGTGCCACTCAAGTGCGAAACCAGCGAACAGCCGATACTGGTCAGTATATATGAGGCGACTCTGGTGCGCATTTGCGGTCTGGTGAGCAAAATATCACCGGAAGATTTTCACGTGTCCATCGAGCAGATCTTGTTGAAACACCTGCTGTCCGGTTATCTCTGGAGTTCCCTGCTGAGCGCGGACGTTTGGTATTTTATCGGCAAGTGAGGGAAGCTTATTACAGCGTAATATAACGTCTACGTCAACGATTGAAAGTACATCTCATTCTCGTGGCTAATTTGTCACATTTTTGCCTGTTTAAGACTCGGCACTTCCGAACTGTGCGCCAGTTACGTTAAAGAGCTGATTAAAACCTCCGCAGTCTTTGTAAAAAGACGCGACAGTGTAGAAGCGATCATGTTAGACAACGTGATTACGAGTCTCTTCGAATTGCTGACTGACAACGCAAGGATCAAATTGCTAGATTGTATTGTCGATCAGGATGCGTATCACGCACCCGTCCTGTATGCGCTAGCGACGAAAATCAAGTATCCCACGGATCGATTGAAGCGTAAACTCGAGGATTTGCCGAAAGCTTTCTCAGATCTGCAAGAACGTCCTTCCGCTCGCAACTGGAACCGCCTTGTAAGATGGCGTATTCATTAAACGTGTGTCTCTGTTCTTGTTCTTGCAAATAACACACAATTCTATGTGTTGTATGAACACTTTTTGTATTTTTCAATTGTGCTTTTTTTTCAATAATTTTACGCAAACTTTCTCTCGTTACGAAAACTTTCGAGCTAAAAATTATGATATCAGGTGCAACTCCTGTCCGTGATGATAGCGGTAGATTACAAAAACAACGAGGAAGTTATCGAGACGTTAATTAAAATCTGGAAGTTTGTGGAAAACACGATTGCCAAATGCGAGGGCAAACAACTGGATGTACTGTCCGACTTGGTTGTTGTCTTGCTTGACGCCACTTGTCTCGAAAGTCTTCAGGATGACGCTTTTTATGCGGTATAAAACAATCTCTATTTTTTTTTTCATTTAATTTACGACTGTGCTGTTTACAAGCAAGCACATACCAATCTTACACGTGTAATTCAAATTTGATATTTCTCAGATTCTAACGTCTATCGCGTCCTTGTCCGTCTATCTGCCTTTGCGAGATAGAATCAAGGTCTGTCATCTGTTGCAACGCTCGGTCGAGAATCTCGATCGTTGCAAGACCAAGAACGTTGCTTCCGCTTTAATCAAGCTGTTTGCTCGTTTTCTGGACGATATCGATCCCTGGGTTCGTCAAGAAGCTCTCAGGACTTTTGAGTGTGTGGGACATGTATGTTCGGAGGATCTGGTCGCAAGGATAGCAAAGGCTCTGGCCAAGATATCAACCGTCAGCAGCATCGTACAGGCGTATTTGTCCGTGAGACCGTGTTACGATCTCAAAGGTTTCACAGACGCTCAGGACTATCTCAGACACGTGGCTAGAATCGCTCGAGATTATTGCCACAAGCACACATGTCACGAATACAACGTAAGTTTAACAAATAAATGATACGGTGGTGCGAGATATCGCAAATATTTTACGTGAGTATTAATAATGACAATAAACGAACATAAGGAATTCGAAAGAGAGGAGAAAGTACCAAGGTTAGAGGATGAGGAGAACGATATAGCGATATCGCACGATTCTTATGATTCACCGATGATGATCCACTTGGACAAACAAGCAGAGGAGCTGTACGGAGGATTAAAGAAGGTTCTCGAAGGCCAAGCCGTAATCAGTGACGCAATCTGTGGAAAATTGATAACCGTTCTGCAAGCAATTCATCGAGCTTGAAAATGAAATTTTTCTAAATTGGTTGTAGGTTTCCGCAATATGAAAAGAATTCGCTTGCGATAACAAAACACTATCGTCATTTTCTAATAATAAATGAGCAAAAAAGTAATAAATAGTAAAAGCTACATTGAAAAATTGTTTTGAAAAATATTTATAAGAAGATATAGTAAATCAACCCTTACGAAAAAGAACTACTGGCAGTAATATATTGCGGCTGTGGTACGAAAAAATTATTGGCATTCTGTGTAATTGCCAGTAATATTCTCAGTGTTTCCTGTAATACCTAATAATATTCTTATGTCATTGTCAGTAATATTTATATTACTGACTTTATTTATATGTAATCGGCAGTAGTTCTTTTTCGTAAGGGAACTAACAAGCTCATAGGGGAAATTCAAATTTAAATAAGAACTTTACGAGCTGATCCACAGCGGTGAGTAATAAAAAGTAGTTTTAATAATGATGAGACGTTTTGATGATTATTTATTCTTTTTGATCATTTTCAAAAAATATCTGTAAACATGTAAATAAATAAATTAACAAAACTAACAATAATTAAAACTACTTTTTATTACTTATACTCTACCGCTACCGCTAGGTCATAGCACATAAGGTTTTATTTACAAAAGATAACTACTTTAGTCAATTGAAAATCTTGCATGATGTGTATGTGTGTGTGAAAGAAAGGGAGAGTCCCACATTTCGTAAAGAGTGTCACTTTATCATTGAAAACAGCTTGATACTATAAATCTTTTTGTGAAAAACAAAAGTACGCGAAGATTTAATAAATCACACTGCTTGAAAATTGATATATATCGATACAATGGGAATTCTAGAATGGAGCGACATCTGAGCACATTTTATCAATGCCATTCACTGACTTGTTATACAGGGTGTCCCAGAATTGCCGTACAATATCTCGTAGGCAGGTAGAAGGAGTAAAACTGAGTCGAAAAGTCCTGAACCATTTTAAAAATGATTCAGGATCTCCTTCTACCTGCCTACGAGAGATTGTACAGCAATTCTGGGACACCCTGTATATGTGTGATGTATAAATGATGATATAAAGGCGATACACAGCTGTGAGTGCTCAGTAGAAGTGGAGGACATTTGCTAGAACGTATCAGCGAACGTGTGATAAGATTTTTCCACATCATCAACTTTACATCCATTTTAGATAATTCATAGAGGAAATTGATAATTAAAAAGAAAATTGTGAGCTTTTCACATTTTCATGCAGATAATTTGGCTAGAGTAATATCTGTTGCTTGGTGAGTATAAGCAAGAGATTTTGTATATTTGCATATATCTATATCTATATATATATATGTGTGTGTATATATATACGTGTGTGTGTGTATGTGTGTGTGTGTGTGCTTGCAGTTCTATTGTTAGCAATAATATATCATTTATAATGTACAATACAGTAATTATGAAGATTCTATTTCTCACATATATTTTATTGATTGTCTAATTATATTTGTTTTATTTTTTTACATAATTTCATTATAATACAGTGGATTTTGTGTTACTACTCGGTAAAAAATTTGTGATATATAATTATATATATACTTATAGACAAATTAAAATTATTATATCAATTATGCAAATTTATAATAAATACATCCGTATAAATTTGCATAATTAGATATAATGATTTTAGTTTGTGTATAAGTATATATGATTATATATCAAAAATTTTTTATCGGGTAATAACACAAAATCCACGGTATTATAATAAAATTATATAAAAAAATAAAATAAATATATTGTATGTCTTGTTTTATGTGTTTTATCACAAAAATAAATCGACAAAAATTTTTTTCTTTTAACAAGATTTATCGTCTGTTATTAGCATTTATAAAACATATTTATTTACAAATTGTGGATTAGAATAAATATTTTTAAAAAATAATAAAAAACTTGAGAATATGTGCAGCTAAAATTGATTATTAGCATTTATAAAACATATTTATTTACAAATTGTGGATTAGAATAAATATTTTTAAAGAATAATAAAAAACTTGAGAATATGTGCAGCTAAAATTGATTTTCGAAATGTTTTATCAACAAATTTATCGCGCTTATAAATGTGTGACAATAAAGTATATTATTCTTTGAACTGTTAGCGTGTGCATATTTCTCTGAAATGTGGAATGCAAACAGGAAGTGAAACACAAAACCATCTTTAAATATAGTATTTTCTTTATTTCTCGATTTCTTATGATTTTGCTTTTCTTTGGAGAGTTTTTAATTTGATCTAAAATAAAACGAAAACTAGAAAATTAAAATAATGAAACATAAGATAATCTAAAACCGTACTGATTGTTATAAACTTTATGATTTTGTCATAAGCGCTCACAGAGTGTTTTTTTTTTTTCACTTTTTCAGATCACTAGAGAATTTATATAACTCGTTGCAATGGAGACAATTAAAAAATATTTGAATGACGATACGGTATATAATAAAATGAATATGTTTATAAGTCTAAGATCTTCTTCACACGAGGCAACCATCAATGAGCAGTTGCAATTGGTAATTAAAGATTTTCACTAGGTGCATCCAGAAGCACGACCGCTCAGTGTGCTAATTAGCAATCGACTGTGATTGGCTCTTATTTTAATCTAAAGTTTAACCAATCACAGTCGATTGCTACTTAGCCGCTGAGCGGTCGTGTATCTGAATGCACCCATTATTACTCCCTAAAATCGCAGTAAGTTATAAATAATATACTCGTGCGCATGAATTTACATATTACATGTCGTACAGATTTTACAACAATTGATACCAGCTATGAAAAGCCAAAGCCCGTTGTTTAAACAAACTTATCAACGAACCGCTTATACGGGTAGCTATTTCAAAAAAACTCGCGTTGGAGCACCAGAAGAATTTGACCTAAACTTAATTATCAAGTTACCTTTAAAAGACAAAGATTTTGAGAAGGTAACAGAAGTTTTTCCAAACGCGAAGTTTTATTACATTAAAATAGTATTTTATACGATTTTCATTTTATTTTTAATATTAATTAATCAATATATTTATATTACTTAACATAATTATTATGTTACTTAATCAATATAACAGTTTACGACAGATCGTCCTGGTTTTACTGTAGTACGCATAAGGCAGGGTACAGATATACTGAAGGCTTTAAAGTCTGATGACAAAGCATACAGGTTTATCTTATTTGAAAACTAAATTTAAAAAATTTTTTTGTAATATCTTATAACAAAAAAAAACGCAACTTTTGTTTTCTGAAACCAGAGAAATGAAAAGTTTTATTGATCAAGACTTATATTTGAACCAAGACAAATTCCGGAGTTGGATGGAAGGCGTTTTAGGTAAAGTAGCTGATCAGACGAATAATCGAATTGTTTTGGAAGAACTTCCATACCCAGTAAGTTGTTTTTTTTTTATATTAAATCTCATGTTTTTCTGTAAAGTTAAAAAGCAAAATTTGAGCTACAAAAAAAATTTGTCGATATATATATATATAATATAAAATTAATAATATTTCGGGGTTTTATAGGTACTTATAAAACGGAAATCGGGGCCGGCTTTCACCTTATCATTTAAACTTAATGATTTTGAAAATTATATTGATATAGATCTAGTTCCCGCACTAGCATTTTCAATGTGTAATCCACCACCAGAATTTAAGTTTAGAAATTATACCGTACGTAATATATACCGAAAAATAATATATAATACTGCATCAGTATAATATATTGTACATTTTAACTAAATAATCAAGTAAAAGTTAATAATGAATTTAAAAAATTACGAGAAACCAGTTAAATTGATTAAAATCACGCATTGCAGTCAATTAGATATTGGTATGCGATTCCTAAACCTTTATACAATTCGTCATGGTTTTCGCCACATCATCATTGGCGATTGAGTTTTTATGAGCTCGAAAAAGATCTCCTTGATGAATATAGCACTGCAAATCGTATGAAGTCTATAATACGCCACTTGAAGGTACGATATGAAATAATAAGAAATTTATAATTTATTTATTTTTAATATATGTAATAGTTCTAAGTTTTAGTTTTTTGTTATTAATATATTTTAAAATAAAGTTTATAATCGTTTTTAACGATGTACACACACTTTGTAATTTATTTATTTATAATATTAGTCTATTTTTTTTTAGTTTTAATATCACACTACGCAAATCCACTTTAAAAAATTTAAATTACAAAAAAAAAAGTTGTGAAATTTAATGAACAACACAAATTATTAAAAACTTAAATTGAAATTTGTTTACAATTATTTTCAATATGTTTGATATATGTTTGCTAAATCACTTTATTCTATAAAGTGTATAAATTATATAGTACTTGCATTTTTACAGAAATTCAGGGATACGCAGAACTTGAGCAATATTGCAAGTTATTACATTGAAATTTTATGCTTACATGAACAAGACTTTTTTAGAAATTCTAGAGAATCGTATACTTATTTATTTTTTACGGTAATGTATTATATTACACTTCTTAAAAGTTATCTTTCGTTATGATAAAAACTGCAATATTACGATGTTTTTAGATGTTACAAAAACTTTGCCACGCTTTTGAAAATGGAAAAATAAACTTTTATTGGGTAGATGCAGTAAATTTACTCGAGGGAATGAACGGTCATGAAATAAGGAATATATATGGCAAATTAAACAATATTCTTAAAAAAATCGAGAGAAATATAAAAACAGATAAGTTTGCGATAGCGGAATATGTATGTAAGTATAAATTTATTTTTCGTGCAATGTGCGGAATCGATTAAAACATATTATTTGTAGTTCTCTCTTTACAAATATATTTGATAAATTATACAAATTAACATCGTGCGGTTTTGCTTTAATTAATTTCGTTACAGTGCCTGCAGACGAATTGTCTATGTTACGCAGCCATTTATCATCAAACAATATAAATTATCAAGAAATGGTAAACGAATTTGCGAACGAACAAATTGACGAACAAAACGGTAAGTGTTCAACATATATATATGTATACATATATATATATATATATATATATATATACTATGTAGATACTATATAGTATATATTATATAGTATATTATACCAGTATATAATGTATATACTCTAGAGCGCTCGAAGAATCGATAATTAAAAATTTACAAGTTGAGAACAAACTTGAGAGCGATTGCTTTCGTTTTTTTTTTTTTTTTTCGGTCGCATCTACAAAAGAAATGACAAACGAAATTATAAATACGAGATAAAACATCCGCTAAAAAGGTTGATTTCTTTGCTAACTAAAATATTTTTTAAAAACGACGTTACAACACAAAACGCCAGTATAAATAAGAAAACAAAGTGTTTAAACCTTCATGCTCTAACGTTAATGTGTGTGTGGTCGAAAGCTCGATATAAATTTTCTCAGCTTAAAAACTTTAGCAAAATAATCTTATTTTTGCATATTCTTTCTTTTCTCGTTCGCGAGATAAATCCTCCTATGGTATTTATTAAAATAAAGAGACCAGTAGTCTCTCTTTGGATATATAGAAGTGTAATCTTGCACCATCTCACTATATCTTAGATCTATGCTCACGGCGAGCTTACGTTCAGCACGCCTTAATTCAGTCTTAATATATGAAAATAATTATTTTCATTCTTCCACGGTCATTGAAATAAAAAGTTTCTTTCAAGAAATTATGGAATACTAAAATTTATATACATTGTAAATAAACGCAACAAACCGCAACCGAGTAAATCAACAAGTCAATTCATGCAGTGTTAAAATATATTATACCAAATGCATTTATATGAAAAAAACTGGTATATATATATATATGTATATATAATGAATTCTGTGCAATAATATATAGTTAATATTGTACTTAATGTAATAAAGTTATATACGAAATTTTTTATGTGATGTAAATTTATACGAAGATCAACAATCGTATATAATTTTTTGTTATCACAGCTAGTCTCACTTTAAGACTAATAGAAAAGGTACTTTTGTTAAGTTAAATTACATTGTATTGTTTGTAACATTGCTTAAAATTTTTTTGCGCAGGAAATCAAGGGACATGCGTAATTATCTGACCACTCGAGAAAGAAATCGGCGATTTTGGTCACGCAACGCAACATGGCGATACAGTCGGCCTCGGCGGAGTGGTGACCCTCCAAGCTTGAGTGAAACATGGACATGTAAATGGCTTCGAGTTTCAGATTCACCGGCTTCTCGTATCCAAAATCCAATCTCTTTCTTGGAATATTCATCTTTTTGGGTCGCTCCACTATTATTATGTCGTCCTTTCTTATCACTTGATCTTCTGGCGTTTTTTCTCGTTTGCGATTCTTTGACGACCGAGCGTCAACAACATTATTCCTTTCGTTTCTATAACGTTTGTTTTGTTTTACAATTTTTGTTTTACTGTATGCGTGATCGTGGGGAATTGAAGTGGACGGAACTTGAGATTCCGTCTCAACGAAAGAAGTGACCTCTTTCGCCGTTTCGATGTCTAACAATGACAATGACTCGTTAAATTCGTCGTTCAAAATTTTTTCGGACATAATTAAGTCTCTGCTACGACTCAAATCCAAGTCTCTTGTTATGTAAAAGTCTTGGAACATCTTCAACGTGTCGATACAAAGAATTTTATCTTCAAGTATCTTCAAAATAAATATGTACCATTATATATATATGCATTATATATACTATATATTACATACTATATATTACATACTATTATATATATTATCATATTACATTTTATTACGTTTATACATATATTACGTGTATATGTTATCCCTTACGAAAAAGAATTATTGCCGATTACATATAAATAAAGTCAGTAATATAAATATTACTGACAATCACACAAGAATATTATTAGGTATTACAGGAATCACTGAGAATATTACTGGCAATTACACAGAATGCCAGTAATTCTTTCGTACCACTGCCGCAATATATTACTGCCAGTAATTCTTTTTCGTAAGGAATTATTAAACAAGCATAAAGAATTTAATATTCTATAAATTACTTACCTTGTCCATACATTTAAGTTCCCATAGAAATATTGGGTAATCAAACTGCTTGCCATTGTGCGCCACAAAACAAATTGGCGGAGTAAAGCGCTTTATGAAATGAGAAATTAGGTCATACACTTCACATCTAATAGGTTTTAATAACTGCATCTCCTCATTGGATAGCTCTAAAAGTTAGGAAAGAGAGAACATTACAGTAACTAATGCAATTATATAGAACATTAAATATTTCAAATTATATAGTATAAATTTATACACATTTACAATTTGGATATTTGTCTCTACGTTTAGCAATCTATATATTTCGATTATTCTTGATTATTAAATAAAAATAAATAAACTTTGGTGTAAGCTTACTTGTCATACGTTCTACTACTGGCGGTATGCATCTTTCTGGATTGATTGGAAGCACCAACTTGTGCATAACTCTTGGCTCATAGTTGTAACTGCTGGCACATATTGATTCTCTTGTAACTGCAATCATTGCAATCTCCGTGACTTTCGGCATTACCTTCTCTGTGATCAGGCCAGTTGTCTCCATATCAAAAAAGATAAACGTCTGAATCTTCATTGTACATTAAATATTATGCATTACTTTTCTCAACAGTCTTGTTTTCTCAACTATTATATTTTGTGTTTTCTGCAACACAGCCTTGATATTATTGCACACAACCAATTTTTAACTACTGGCCAACAAATCTTCTATACGCACTACCTATGAAAAAAAAAAAAATCAGTCTCACTACCTAGACGCACTTGGATGCGATATTATTGATAAGATAATTTGCCATCATTGGTTCAACACTCTGATATGCGAGCACATTTTCAAGAAACATAAAAATAGCATATCCTTGAACACGTGCTGATCTAATGCATTAGAAAGTAAATATAACCTGCGATAATTACTCAGTCCAGTCACTTGTACACCAACCGATGACACACCTGTACTCTTACACACATCGTGCCTGTATTTATGTTCTTTTTTTCCCTGTTAACGGTCATGTCACGCTGAGTCGATTTCTCTTCTTTTTCTCATAAAGAATCTTGTGCTATCTCGTGACCGCGTATACAGGAATAGGACACGACAGCAACATCTGACACAGCGAAGATGACTTGGCTAAAGCCGGAGACACATTTAAAACATCGAACAAATGCAATTGGTTGATTTGCTTACAACGCTTGGGGTGGGTTCGGGGAGCGCGCTATCAGCGCTGTTGCATTATTCTATCTTTATTGCTCATTAGATGTAAAACAAAGATGGAATGACGTAATAGCGCTGATAGCGTGCTCCTCGAACGCAGTCTTCAGCTGTGTCTCGTTTCACGCATTGCGCGCATTTATCTATACTATACGTGACGTGTACTATAGATAAATGCGCGCATATGCGTGAAACGGAACGCAGCCTTCGTGTGTGTTCTTGGCTTTAAACGTTCCTGTGGGTACGAGCCATTAAGCCATCCAGCTGTGCTCCTTACGTCGCGCAGCGCGCGTTTTGTGTCATGTGTGTTTACATTATGAGAGAAATATGTAATACAACAAAGAATGTCAGGAAACGATAGCTTTCTACACACAGTGAATGACTTTTTCAACAAAATGTCCAAGGAATTCGTGACCGTCGACGGTAACGTGAAGAAGGTTCAGAAAGAGAATCTAACTCCTTTCAAAGTGGCAACTGTTATTTTAATTAGAGAATATTGCAACGAAAACACAAAAGGTACGTGTCCCTTTTATCGTTTTTTGCGTGCGATATTTTGTGATTCTTACTAACGTAACGCTTGCGTCACTTTTACCGTGTTTAAATCTCCGATGTTTGGTTTCAGCAATCGTGGAGAGACGCGACTTTTGTCTAGCGTCGTTGAAATTGATTCAGGTAAAGTATCGTTTGAATTGTTCGAAGAGAAGATAAGAATTGACACACAGACGCATTTACAAATGTTTGTCCTCAGTCAGCAGATATGGAACTGGCCGATCTGTTGAACATGTTGTACGGTTCGCAATACGCCTTACATCGTTTTGCGGATCAGTTGGAAGTGGAACTGGACACTCTGCACAGAAAAGGAATCGAAGGACTGTTGAATCTGTTCGACAGTCTTCGTCGACTGATGGAACCCAAGGATCACTCGCTCTCGGTAGCGGCGCTGAGCAAAAATTCTGTTCTAGGATTGTACGTTCGCAGAATGCTCATTTTCTTTGAGAAATTGGGTTTCGACCAGGTGGTCTCTCTCTATAACGAACTGCAGAGATATATAGAGAAAAAAATCGGTTGCGCGGACACTTCTGATGCTTCTGTAATTTCCAAGACAGACTGTAGCCCGGAAAAGTAAGCTCGGAGAGAACGTGTTGCAACTTGATATTTTTTTACACCGAGTATTTTTTAGCTCCGTTTTTTCTATTTTGAAAATTTTATACGCGCGTGTGGTTTTAGGGCGGTGACTTGGGGCGGAAGACAAGCTGAATTGCTTGTGGCGCAACAGGCGCACATATTGCAAACCGACGAGCACAAGGCGATGTCGCCGATAGCTTTGCAAGCTCTGGTCACGGATCTTTTGAAATCAACTCCGTACAGCGCGGACGCGGTGAGTGTGCGAAACGTGAGTCGCGCGAGAATCTTCGCTCTAAATCTTGATCTTTGTTTTGTTCTCTGTTGTCGCAGCATTACTTGAGTTACTTGAATTCCATTCGTGTGAACGACTTCTGCGGCGCGGTGGACAGTCTTTATCACTGTTTTGACAGACTGGCACCTCTGGAGAACCGATCGACACCCGAAGACCGATCTCGCACATTTCGATACGCGGCGCTCAATCTGGCCGTCTTACACGCCCAGTTTAATCACAAGTACTACAAGTGCATATGCGCATTTTATCTTTTATGACTCAGTTAACGAACAAAATTTCGGCTTGCGCGCCCACAGTTTATCTCATGTAAATAATAGATTCGCGCGCGTTATTCGCAAATAATGCTCAATCAAGCGATTATTTTGAAAAGGGAAGTGGCGCAATACGCTTTGAAAGAGGCTATCAAGTTGGCCCAGGAAGCCGGAGACAACGTGTGCTTGCAACTCGCGCATTCTTGGATGTCCTATTTGACCAGCGAAGAGAATAAGTAAGCCAATGTAACTCCTTCTCTTTTTATTACATAAGTAAAATTTTCTATTTTTATAGATTTCTTTTTTTTTTTTTTTTTTTNTTAAAATTAAATAACGTTAAGANATTGACAATNGCTGTTTGAAGCAAAACACTGCTGATGATGTGTAATGTATGTAATGTGTAACTTTATTTGAGAAAAATTAATATATAACGTTTTCGGCCTTCGAATTAGTACTTTGTAACTCGCTGAGCGTAATCAGTTGAAAATTGTGTTAAAGCTTGACTCAAGAACTTGTTAACTATGTCCACACACTTATATTGAAAAAGGCCTAATTCGAAGGCCGAAAACGTTATATATTAATTTTTCTCAAATAAAGTTACACATTACATACATTACACATCATCAGCAGTGTTTTGCTTCAAACAGCCATTGTCAATGTCTTAACGTTATTTAATTTTAAAAAATTTGAAGCTGACTACATCTATCATTATTTATTTATTTTTTTATTAATTTTCTTTGTTATTCAGAGGTCTGCTCATAGAACGCTCGGTCGGCAAGGCGAGTTTGCTGGGAATCACGCACACGACAGGCTTGAGTCTCATTTCGCACGCGCACAATTGCGCCCTGGAAGCCAAGAGTCCATCTGTGGTGTTCGACGTGTGTAATTTAATTAATTGAAAACAGTTTGTTCGGAAGAACGTGCGAATATTTGCGATCACCTTGTGATCATCTCGTTGCAGATATTGATGAAGTCGGACATGTTAAATTGCCAGCACTCGATGTCCGACCTGAAGTCCGTTACCTTCGCGGAGAAGTCCGCTTTATGGGCGTATTACGGCAAGACGGAAATGGCCTCTCTTTGCGCCCAACTACTGCTTCTTCACAACACGGGTGATAAGAAGCAGTACATGTTCAACGGCCCGTCCACGTGCCAGGCGATCGTCACCGTCGCCAATATGCTGATCGAGCTCGGCGAATACGTTCGCGCCGACATTGTTTTGTCCCACGCCAAAGAACGATTTCCCAAAAGTCCTTGCAACAAAGTACGTCTTCCACGACAGTAGATAAAGTCGTTACACGCGCGATCAATTCTTTTTCTAATTCGATGCGTCGCGTTATTCAGATCTGGATGTTGAGCGAACAGCTGCACGTATTCGCGCAACTGATGAGACAAGAGAAGTGGAGCGAGGCGGAGGCGATAGCGAGAAATATATCTAGCTTGGATCAGTTGGAATCCGAGCTCAGGTGGGAAAAAAAGATTTTGCGATTAATATAACAGCAAGTGTGCAATTACTTAGTTGAAATTTTTGGTCCACGTTCCAATTTGACGATTTTTAGATTGACGGAGGTCTGCCTGGCGAAAGGTGACTTTCCAAAGGGACTCGAATACATTGACGTTATCGAGAAGCATCCAGACGCGACTCCGCCGCACGTGATACGCGCCGTTCTTCTTTCTTGCCAGATAACTTGCGCTTCGTCCTTACCGTCAAGCGTAAAAGTGGTCGCCACCAACTGCATAGTACGTCTCTGTTCGGCTCTAGACCTGGCCACGCGAAATTATCTGTTCTACTACAAGGCTCTCATCAAGATGCATCTCGCGAACGTACAAGTGAGTGTTTTCTTTTGTTTTTTTTTTTTTTTTTTTGGAGATCAGGACACTGATGCAAGATCGAGCAGAGAGCAACGGCAGCATCGAAGCGGTGGGGGCACGCACACAAGCGAGAACTGCCGTCCGTGTGCGCACACGGAGGACGGTTCTCGCTTGTATGCGTGTCCCCACCGCTTCGATCTCTCGTTGCTCTCTGCTCGATGATCTTGTAACTCTGGATCAGGATCAGATCGATTTGAATTCAACTCTAATTTTTGATCACATTTCAGTTGTTAATGGGACTGCCAACATTGGCCTTGAATCTGGTGGAGGAGGCCATCCCCACGATTTTGGGCTACGGTGGATGTTACGATCAAGGCAAGGCCTTTCTGTTGTACAGCAAGTGTCTGATAGCCTCAGCGCCGGAGAGCGTTTCCGAGGCGCGAAAAGAAACGATTCTGAGTGGGATAAAAGTTCTGTCGAAAGCGCAAGCGTTGTTCAACAAGATCAACGCTGTCGCCATGGTCAAGAGCACCTTGCATCTTCAAGCCGTTTTGTACAACGAGATCGATCTCATGTCCGAACGAAATCAGTGCGCTTTCGAGTTTCGTCAGTTGGACGAGCAGTATCAAACGTCTCCCACCAATCCCTTTTTATATTGAAATTTATGAAAAAAAAAAAACATGTTTGTACATGAAAAGTATGAAAGGAAAAGTGATGTACATATATAAATCTTTTTTTACTTCCAAAACATTTCTTTCTTTCTTTTCTCCGGTGATAGACTGGAGGATGTGTACTGCCTGCTTTTTTTGCCGAACTGACGTCATTACTTGCTCCAGAAGCGATTTAAGGTTGTATTCAGGGTAAGATAAAAGATATGCCGGATTATTCGAAATTTGCCAGTCAGTAGATAATATTAAAAAAAGATTATGCAAAATTTCAGCTTCTTTGCGAGCCTTGTTAAAAAGTTAGTACGATTTTAATTTAACACGAGTTCTTATGGGATTTCACGATATTCTGATATAAATTACAAAATAAACTGTAGATGTAGATATGCCATAATTTCGAAACTTTTTGCAGTTGTTAATAAATATCTTAAAAACAAATTCCACTTGAAAAAATAGTCATTTCGAGAATATCACATAAAATATAAATTTATATTTTGTTACAATTAATAAAAATATATATTTAATATACATAAAACAATTATATTTGTAATTTTATACATCATTTGTTACGTTTTAATAACCTTTTATGATTAATATATTTCCAGTTTTTCATTTATCTTACATTGCACGTAGGGTATAATTCTACTCAAAAATATCAAAAGTGAACATCAAAAGGGCACAAAATATACGTAAAAACTTTTCTGTAGTTATTAAAAGTATAATAAATAGTTTTTGTAACTTATTTTAGTACAAATAATACTATTCCAGCAAACAATTATTATCTAAATATTAAAATAGGTTCGGTTTACGCTATGTTTCTTAAACTTTTGACTGAGATCTTACCCTGAATACAACCTTAACTAACTGCAATCAAAAATTTAAAAACTTCGCCGATCGTCGGACGGAAGTTTCCCACTTGTGTTCTTCGCGGCAGCCAATCGCCACGTCCGACAGAAATGTCAAAACGCAGCCTATAATCCGTAGTCTGATACACAATCGAGTTCCGGACCTTAAACTCATCGCGCATGCGCACGAGAGATTGCGACGTGACGGGTTTTCATTCACAGTTCCGAGTTTTTTGATGCAAAATTTGTGGCGTGCACACACGCAGTGATTGCCGTGTTGTTGTCGCGCGCAAACAACAATGGCGTATTCCGTGAACATCTCTGTGGAAGCGCCGATTGAGAATCAAATACAGGAAATCACTTACGATGGCCAGGAAATTTATCAAGCGTACGTGAAAACAAGAAGATAACGAGAAATAGAATTGATAACGTTTGATTATTATAATTTTTATTTCATCCGTGTGGTTGCATTAATGTTGTAATTAACCTCACCTCGAAATTGAAAACTTGAGATCGTATGTTAAATCGTTTTTGTCAATTACAGTCCGCTTACGTTATCGGAGAACTTGGCCAAAATTGCTCAAAAAATCGACTTTAGCAAGACCAATGGTGAGGAGATAAAAAAGGAGGAATTAGAGGGTGGTGAAAAGAGCGAGGAGGATGCGAAGGATCCTGCTTCGTTTCAGTCTTCTCTGTGGCCGTGGGATAGTGTTAGAAATAAGTTAAGGTTTGTGATAAAATATAAATTTAAGTCTATAGATAAAAATTAACTGAACGGTTAGAGAAGCTAAGAGTAACGTTGTAGAAATGCCTTGACGGAAGTCTGTGTACTGGCTGACGTACTGGCAATAGCGAAAGAAAAGAACTACATGGTATTAGATCCAGTACCTCAGGAACCGGTCGAGGTTAAGCCTATGGTGCAAGTTTACGCTAGGAAAAAAGCACTTGCGGGAGCAGCAGCTGTTCTCATGATGGGTGCTGAAAGATTGCGAAATTGTCAAGCTGAATTAACTAGAACTAGATCTACTCCTGATTTTCATATTGAATTGTTAAGATTACGACAGAATTGGCGCTTGAAGAAAGTGTCAAACTCCATTATCGGTGATCTCAGTTATCGAACTGGTTTGTACATCTATTTATTTGAAATTTATCTTTTTTTTTTTTGTATATCAGTAGAATGTAGTTTCATCGTTTTTGTTCGCTTGTAAACTGTAATAGCTGGCTCCAAGTACATGCAAACGGGCATGTTTGAAGTCACCAAAGCCGAGGAAGAGGAGAAAAGTAGTAACAGTCCACCTGCATCTCCCAGCGGTGGTAGCAATATGGCCGGCCAGTCGCACGGTCCTCCGACCTCAAAGCCGTCCGCCTTGCGCGTGACGATACCCAGCGAGCTGCAAGGTGTTGCCTACATCGAAGTGATATGTCAAAAAGGTAAATATGACGAACAATTTGCACATTGATTGAGATACGCAAAGAGACACACGCAAATAAGCGTTATTTGATTAGATCAAGAAGATCTGTGTAGCGCGAATATAAGTCTGCTGAACAGCAGCGCGAACAATTCAAACACCGATATGCATTGGCAGCAGAAATTGGAGGCTGCGCAGAACGTTTTATTTTGCAAGGAATTGTTTAGTCAATTGGCACGGGAGGCCGTGCATCTGCGTGCGCCTATTCCTCATATGGTTGTCGGGAATCAAATAATGGCCACGGTATGTCGCACTTTACAGCAAAAATGTGTTTTTTTCTATTACTTTTCACATTACGCGCGAAATATACGCGATTATCATATGTTTCTTCGTCTTTTGCACCAGATGCTTCCGGGAATTCAGTTGATAATCAGTCTGTGCCACAGCACGGGCAACGACAAGAAGCCCGCGAATCCCCCGCCGCACAAGAGCGAACACGATCACGTGTTGGAGCATTCCCTGCATCAGTTGCTGCGCGAGGTACATCACAAAAACAGTCATCATCCGTTTCCCCATCCGGTCTCGGGTCCTATCGGGCCCAGCAAGCGCAGATATCTGGCCGGTCCCACAGCCGCGGACAGATACGAGCTCTTGGAAATGACGAAGAGCCAAACGCTGCTGGAACAGATCATCCAACAGGCGCAACACTTCTTCATGCGTCTGCGCACGGAGTACGTGCTGGACACGATATCGAAGGAGGTGAAAGATCCTCTCATCGTGTCGCATTGGAACGCGCTCAACTCGCCGACTCAGTCCACCGTGAAAATAAACATTCTGACGCACGGATACGACAGCGTGTGCCGAACGTCGATGTTCGTTCACGTGAACGAGAAATCGCTCAAGTGTGTGTGTCGCGACGGTAGAGTCATGCACATGAGTTACGAACCCCAGGAACTGAGGGACCTAATTTACTGTCAAGTTAGTTTTCCTCTCTGTATAATTTTTAAGTTAAGATATGAGAAAACGCTAAATAAAAGAGATATGTGTATCTTTTCGTGATGTTCGGGAAGATGATAACCGCGATATTTTTCTGTACACAGATTTATCAACATCAGATAAGCGCGGTGCAGGCTTTGGCCAAGTGCATGGGTTGGCAGTTCTTGGCGAACAGCTCTCATCTTGGTTTAGGCGCGGTAGAACCCCTGGGAAATGCTTGCAGTTGCATCTTGGCTTCGCCAATCGGCGATAGGTAAGTTTTCTTTCAGTGTGTTTCAAATTTGTAAAATACACGCGCATTGCTTGTATCTAACGATCCTATCTGATTTCTTTTTCAGAATGATAGCCGTACGATGCGAGCCCCAAACGGGCGTTCAGGTCTCTATTGCTCACTCCCCTCGAAAAGATTTCTTCCCCGGTCAGCTTGTGCGAGAGAGAAAATGGGAGAATCTGGGAGGGTCCTTCAAAGAAGTCAGATGGGACAAGATGGAAGGGAAGAATTTTCTCAACAAAATGGAGCTACTGATGGCTTCTTTAACAAGCTCCTAAGAATTCGCGATCGACCCTTCTTTTTTTTTTTCTCTTCGAGATTCCAAAGAGAGATATCTGGAGACTCGATTGTACATCAAAACTGCGATTTTTTTGTGTTCAGGATGAACCTCGTAACAATCTCGTTTCTCTTTACAAAAACATTTCTTATCCCAGGAAAAACAAGATGTTTTATTGATAAAATGTGACTTTGATTTTTATCAAAGAAAAAAAGAGCTTTGTACAAACTTGATCGTAACTTTCTCTCTCTCTCTTTCTCTAATCTTATATCCGTCGTTTTTTACATCATTATTAGAATTTAATTTGTGACTGTGATTTGTGACACTGATTAGTTACGACGATCGCGTCGTCGTACGCTGTACCAGTGAACACAATATCGATAATAACGTGAAAATCGCGCGATCTAAACGCGAAGCCTAGGCGCAGCAGCATCTCTCAAACTATGTTTTCCTTTTTTCTAAAAATTATTACGCAACTATTTGTATTATAAATATTTCACTTCTATAATATATATATATATAGCTACATTTTACAATAAATCATTTTTGAGATGAACGAATTTATCGTTTGTATTACGCTTTTGTTTTTTTTTGTTTTTTTTCTTTTTATCTATGCATATAAAAAACGGGACATAGTAATTTATATACAACTGGACAAAAAAAACTTGTACAAAAATTGGCTTTTATTTTACTGTCGTACGAAATGCGAAATTGGATAATAAACGACTGCGAGATATGATTAATTAATTAAAGATTGAATGAATTAAAAATTATCAGAGAGATATACATGTGTGTGTGTGTGTGTGTTTTTTTTTGTATATCTGTGTACGTGTCTATGTGTGTGTGTGTGTGTGATCGTCGGTGGCTTCCTTTTTCCTTTTTGGTTTTTTTTTTACATATACAAAAAGTAAGGAACAATCCCTTAAATTTTATCGTTTCTTTGTTTGTTTGTTTTTTTAACCTAGTCAAGAAATGCAGTTTTATAAGGCGCAAATTGATGCATAAATATACACTTCACGTTTCTGACAATAATAATTTATACATTATGTATATTATATATATATATATATATGCATATATCACATCCATACATACGTACAAGCGCACGCATACCTTTTAGATTTTTTCTCTTTTGCCTTTGTAAGATACTAGGGAATAATTTACATTTATATTTATTTATTTTTTTCCGATATCACGCTTTGGATCGAAACGCTACGCATATTCCGATTCTCTCATCATCAAACTGTTTCGATGGACAAGGGACGGACTAGCAACATGATCAAAATACTCAGTGCTAGAACCTATTGAGAAAACAAGAAAAAGGTTGCGACAATTTCTCTCGGGGAGGAAACATCTTTTCGCCAAAAACGCATTAACTTGCATGTTTGATTACAGCGTGAACGTGCATTTGTCATTTAGTTCGAACCAAGTAAATGTGTTAACTCTTCACATGCAGACATGGATCTTTCAGACCCACTACTCAAAAATTTCAAACCGGTTTCCGAAGAAAAATTAGTTTTCTTTTTAAACGCTTTATATTTTCCAGAAAATGCCAGAAATTTTTTCAATTTGTTTTTTTTTATCAAAGAATCATTGTTCAAAATATCGACTCAAAGAAACAAAATTGAAAGAATTATTAATTTTTCGCGGAGATATTCGATCGCGTGGGTCTCATCCAGTTTGTCCAACTGGTAGATTGTGTGTCTGGAGTCTGTCTGCGAAGAGTTAATTAATAAATTTATCAAATCTATAAATTGTGTGAATGAAAGATCAACATGTATACAAGAATCACGGTTTTATCAAATTAAATGGAATACGTGTAGCCCATAAAACATCTTCCTCAACAATATTTTAGATAGATATATATATATATATATACTATTTCTCACACGTCATCCTGCTTGATATTTCGAAGGAATAAAAATATTCTGCGTGTTTAGCGCGTACATTATCTCGTCCGCGTGTAATAGGGCAATGAACAATTTTTGTTTTTTTCTTACGAACTAGCGTCTAAAAGGGAAGGATGTTTCTTCGTTAGGACGTTTGTTGTGTTGTCGATCGAAGGTAGATTTCTTTCTCTTAAATAACTGCGTATTGCGACTTCACATCATGTAATCGATAAGTAACTTTTGTTTTTTTTTCTCTTTTTTTTTGTAAGCTCTCTCTCTCTGTCTCTCTCTCTCAGTTCCTTTGGAAACAACGGATTAAAGTTTGTAGACGTCCACCCGCGATTTTGAATGCGAACGCAGCCGTGATCATCAATACTATGTAAGCGGACATGAGACTGGCCGTGTACGCTTGATAACGATTGAGCAATGTCATGCAGGAGACGAACAAGTGCGAACCGACAACCCAGGCGATCTGTTTCCAGTTCTTCTTGTCCAGGGCGGAGAAAAATATAACGCCCCAAAATGTGTGTAGTAAAATGAAGCACAGAGTACTGGCAGCTGATATTATGAAGAAGTATTCCGTGCCCTGCCGGAGTCCCATTGTGCCAGGCCCGACGGCATCGGCCAGGACGTTGACTAAGGCAAAGGCACCGCTCATAAATCCGAAGCCCAATCCGCAAACATAAGCGAATACATGCCTGCTATCTGCCACGTGAGTCGTTGTAACCTTTTCCAAACCTCTCTCGGCCTTGCGCAGCACCCAATATAACAAGTACCTGCAAAATTAAATGTAAATGTGATACATATGCGCGCACAAGTAGAACAGATACACAACAAATGAACATACAATGTTTAACACTTCAAGGACTGATCACGTGACTCAACATATGACAACAACATGGTATGATATTTTGTTAAAACATGAGTTTCTCATCTAGGCTGACAAGAGCAGATCTGTTTCCAGTCCTTGAGGTCATCAGAAGAACACTAGAGATAATGAACCACCAAAGGGATTACCTGAAGCCTTCCTGGAACAGAACAGAGAACACCAGTCCGAACGCGAGATGCTCCTGTAGCGGAACAACGGCGTACCAGAGCACCGACGACAGCAGCAGAGAAATGAGCCAGAAGAAGGCGCTGGCGATAAGTATGATTATCCTGATGGGATCGACAGCTACGGTAAACGTAAACATGGCCATCGGTGGTCCGAAGGCCAGGAAGGCACAACCGAAAAAATCCATAACAGTCATGTTTGTTTTGAATGACCGCAACAATCGAGTTGCATGTACTTTCCCCAACGTGTTCCTCGCTCTTCCGTCCTCGTCGATTGCTCGTCTCGTCCACGAGCCAGCAAACGCTAAATCCCCTTCATTCTAAGCAGCTCCTTCGCGGCACGAAGACTCCCATTTATCGGGCGCATTTATCCTCCCGACGCTAACTCACAGTCTCGAACACGAACAATCGCGCGGTGTAGGAACATATAAAAAAATCTACGCGCGCATCCTCGGGATCATCCGCGAGCGAACAGTGTCCTTTTTTTGTGTGGTCGCGGACAAGTCCTCTGTCAGAGTGTTGGCTGGCGATGGCGCTTCCCTCTCTCTCTCAATTACGGTCTCAATCGAGTATTAAATTGTAAAAAAAAAAAAAAAAAAAAAAAACAAACAAACAACGCCGATACACGTTAGAACGTTCCCGCGCAAGAAAATCGTTGCCGAGACATAAAAAGTGTCGAACGGGCGAGAGAGCTGGAAACGCGACCGCGTTTGACATCCAACGTGGAACAACGGGGAAACTGTCAAAGACACAGTCGTGTCTCGCGCCAGTCGTGCACGCGCCACGGCAAACGACGAGAGAGGTGATTCATTCAGGACTCACGTGAGGGAAGTATAGTACGGCATCCCCCGTCAAAATTGAAGCGAAGCAATCGAAGCTCCCACCCGAGCGCCATCTGGAGCGCTCGTTCGCGCCGCTCGAGGTGCCATCTCGCGGCGCGGATCTCCGCCAATAAGCGCGCGTCGCGACTCGAGATTCGACCAATCGGAATCCGTTCGCGGCCGAGTTCGTCGACGACGAACCGCGCTCCATTGGCTCTCGTCGTAAAACTCGTCGAGGAAGCAGTTGAAAAACAATTTTTCTCACAATTATTTTTAAACATCTCGCGTGACCGAAACGAGCGAACATATAGACGTTTTCGCGTATATTTTCTCTCTCTGTTTCAGCGCCGATTCCCTCGTTCGCCCCGTCCTAAAAAAAAACAAAAAAGAGGAACACCCACCAGGGGTGTTGTTAAATGGATTGTTGCTCCTATCTATATAGAGTGCTGTCGTCCGTGCGAACGGGCATCCCGCCGTCGCCGTAGCTGTGGCCGTAGCGAGTCAGTGAAGTGCGAGAGAAGTGCCTGGTAGTGCCACAGAAGAAGCTCTCGTCGGCGTCACGTGATCCTCCTGTAAACCCGTGGAAGTATGGCCGACAAAGAGGAGACCGAGAAGACCATCGCCGAGGACTTGGTTGTCACCAAGTATAAAATGGCCGGCGAGATCGTGAACCGTAAGGATATGCCTTCACGCACCCGTGCGGAATTACGCGCGAACGGGGCTCGCGCGTCACGCGCGCCGTTTCGTTCCGTCGCGGCCATATGGCGTGTGCGGCGCGCCAATGCCGGGCCGCGACCATGTGCTGATCCACCAGATCCCACGACGTGCGTGCTGCTCCTCCGACGTTCGCTCGCGCGACACGTTTGTTGCAGATAATAATTGGCTCCCCGAGCCCGTTTCTCTTTCGCCGAGCGCGCACAAAATAGATCCCGTCTTCTCTCCGACTCGCTGATTTTCACGGCGTTTTCCGCCTCGTCTCTCAGTTATCTCGTTGCGAAACGTGAGTCAACTGCAGGGCGCCCGCCTCGCAAACGCTACGCAGCGAGTTCTCGCGATAACTCTGTGCATCACAGAATTATCACTTGTCTCTGTTTGTATCGCAAGTTCGTCGGAGCAGTTGCACACGATATATATGATGAATTTAATTTGCAAATGGTAGTTAAAAAAAAAAAAAAAAACATCCATTGGCGTTAAAGTGCCAATAAAAATGATGGCGTTAGTCGATTTGTCTTAATGTTATTTTAATTTGTCTTAATTTGTCTTAATGTCATTTTGTGTGTAATTATTAGTTACTGTATTAATATCTCATTAATGTCTCTTATATCTTGCAGGAGTATTAAAACAAGTTTTAGACAAATGTGTCATCGGGGCTTCTGTTAGAGAAATATGCGAGTTTGGTGACAAATTACTCACAGAGGAAACTAGTAAAGTTTTTAAAAAGGAGAAGGAACTTAAGAAAGGAATCGCGTTCCCGACATGCATATCAGTCAATAATTGTATTTGTCACTTTTCGCCAATAGCCAGCGAGCCGGATCTTATTTTAAAAGATGAGGATATGGTTAAAGTGTAAGTTTCTTTATACATTGTGTTCATCGCCTTTTTTTGATGGCTCTACAGCTTGTATCCAGCCACGGTCTCATTGTGATTTACACGTACGGTCCAATGGCAATGAAATTTCGTATTGCAGTGATCTGGGAGCACATATTGATGGTTTCATAGCTGTAGTGGCACACACCATTATAATAGGTTCATCGCCAGAGAAAAAAGTAACTGGCAAAAAAGCTGATGTAGTTTTAGCTGCATATTACGCTTCTCAAGCTGCATTAAGGCTTTTGAAGCCAGGTACAGAGGTAGGATTGAGACTTTAACGTGCTGTCGTTTTGTTTCTTTCTTTGTTTTGTAAAATTGAAATTTATGAACGAAGACTTCCTTTAACGGTGCCGATGTACGTTTCAGACTTACACGATAACAGGCACCGTGGAGAAAATATGCGACGCCTACAAGTGTAAGCCAATCGAGGGTATGTTAAGTCACCAGTTAAAACAATTTAAAATCGACGGCGAGAAAACAATTATACAAAATCCCAACGACGCGCAGAAGAAGGAGCACGAAAAGTACACCCTTGAAACTCATGAGGTACATTTTTCTCGTGTCCGTCGGGAAAAATTAATAAGAAAAACTCTCATTCTCTGAAGCTGTCCTCCTTATTTTTGAAATTTCCTTTTTTCTTTTATATTTCACACATTTGTTGTAAACTTCAGGTGTACGCGATGGATGTACTCGTTAGTACAGGTGAAGGGGTTGGGAGGGAACAGGATACACGTGTAACGATATACAAGAAGACAGAGGAGACATATCAGCTGAAGTTAAAAGCATCTCGAATGTTTTACTCAGAAGTCTCCCACAAGCACGGTCTCATGCCGTTTAATTTACGCACTTTTGAGGACGAAAAGAAAGCGAAAATGGCCGTTGTCGAATGTGTTAATCATAGATTGATTGAACCTTTCCAAGTGAGTGACACCTGAGGTTGCGCATGTTTGTTCTTGGATGTCGTGTATTATCGAATAGATCGTAACCTTCTTTTATTGCCGCAGGTGCTGTACGAGAAACCGAACGAATACGCTGCACAATTTAAATTTACGGTTCTTCTGATGCCCAACGGGCCCCACAAAATCACTGGAATTCCTTTTGACTTGGATATCTATCAATCGGACTGTGTGGTTGACGATCCCGAATTGAAGGTGCGTAGAGAGAGTCTTAAAATTCAATAAGTTACACACACATTGTCTAAAAATAATCGAAAAATCTCTTTGCAGACCCTTCTGTATTCTTCAGCAAATCCGAAGTCGGCGAAAAAGAAGAAAAAGAAGGCCGAGAAAGCCGTAGGAGACGTCGCTATGGAAGTCGATGCCAAGGCCTAACACTATCATTTTAACACACACCATGACTTACTGACGTGCACTACTCCGATAGTTTTTATTTGGCGATTCAAGAGTCAAGGCTGGACACTTTTGTACACAAATCACTCGACATAGCCAGTATCCCGTTCTCGGACGTTGCATTGTTAAAATTGCGTGTTTGCAGTGACGCTTCGAATTGCTGTGTCCTCGCCATCCTCGTAAATGAAATGATAGCAGCGGTATTGTGTCCGGATGTGAAAACCTTTGTACGTGTTTTATTCGTTGGTTTATGAAGTGTCGAGTTCTGCCATTCTGCTAAAACTCCATCACGCGCATTTAGGGTCACAACTTTATCAACACTTACATTTTCTTTTATACTAATCTCCTAAAGGACCATAATATTACATTGTACGCAGATTGATGATGACTGTTATTTGTTGCGATTATTGAGTTTCGACATCTACTGTTTTGTACGCAATAATTTTGTGTGATCGTTTTTTCATAAATTCTCATCGGCTAAACTTAAAAAAAAAAAATTAAAAAAGTGAATCGACTTGATGTGTTTATTAACGAGAACAAAAATTGTCACTTTCTCGCGTACGTTGAACTGAGACGAAATCTTTATAGTTACACACAAAAAAAAGTCGATGAAAGTGTATTTGTTGTAATTACTGTGACAATTTTTTGTGAGTAAAATTTTTAATTAATTTAGAAAAATACACAAGAGCCACGCACTTTGGACGGCAAGTTGGCTGAACTACAATCATTAATTTGTTTAATCATCCATAGGAAAATAATCCATTGCTTTTTGTTTTATCGAAAGCTCGGCCCATTTTGTAATTTTTAACATTTGCGTTGCGGACGTAACGCATGCGTCTTGGCGAGTCTTTGCGCAAAAAAAAAAAAAAAAAAGTGTCAAAACGTATCTGCGCGACAGCGCGTTAATAATAACATCGAGATTTGATATGAGTTACAGAATAAGAGAGCACGCAACAAAATATGTACAATCCTTGGAATCCTTGCGATACAAAAAAAAAAAAAAAAAAAACTATATATACGATTTACTTCGAAATTCCGTGACGATCTTCTGCACTAGCCAATTTTGTATTCCCTTTGTGTGTGCGTGTGTGTGTGTGTGTGTATTTGTGCGCGAGCAATTACATTATATACTAACGTTTAAAATTGTACAATTGAATGAAATGTCTAGAACGCATAAAACAATGAAGTGTCAATGATTCTTCAAGTGTTTCGTTGCGAAAATTAAATTACCCCTCGATTAAAAAACAAAATCGCGAAGTCCAAGTTTTTACTTTGCGCAGATTTATTAAATTTGATGCGAAGGACACACACATTGTTAAGTAATAGGTAGAAATGCATCTCTATAATATAGAAGAACTTTATTTAAGTGAAACAAAACAAAACAAAAAAAATAGATCTTCATGAAAAAAAAAGAGAAACACACATTCTTGGGGAGTAAATATAGACTTGCCGACTTGCTACAAGCCGTAAATTATATAAAAAAAAATAATAATAATAATAATACTGTGTAATAATAGTTTTATATAAGAGGGATAGATGTGTGTATCTGTTATAGATATTTTTTCTACTCAAGTTGTGCATACGTCGAATGTTACAGAGTGTGCTTGTATAACAAAAAGAAAAAAGAAAAAAAAGATCATTGTGCACCGTCCGTCATTTGCATTGCCGATTATCTCCCTGATGCTTAAAAATCAAATTTTATCGACGATATTTCGGATATAATAACTTCTTCGCGAGCGAGTTGTTCTCAAATCGGACGCGAACGGTTTCAAGCGATCAGAAAAAAAAAAAAAACTGTCAAACAATAGCGTTATAGAATACAAAAAGTGCGAAATCTTGCAAACGAGGACCGTGCACAACATTCACACGCAATATAAAAAATATATTAAAAAAAAAAAAAAAACTACGATGTGAGAAAAAAAAAGAAATTGTTATGAAGAAAAAAAAATCTTGACGATATACATAAGCCGTAACAGCTATTGAAGATTTGACTCGCGCGTATACTTCACATAAATCGTATATTATATACTCCATTTCTTTCCTCATAACATAGATAAATAATCTGCAAAATACCATGTATATTTGTAGAAAAAATATACGGAAAGGAACGAACGACTTTTCACACACGCATATAAATGATCTTGAGACACACACACTTAAACGAATACTACGGATTTTATAGATTATCACTTGTTGATAATTTTGCTATATGATCTCTCTAATCAGAGTGAGGATGTAAGTGCAGAAATACAAAATAGTATTTACAGTTGTGTCTTTATTGTTCGAGTAGGTTTAAGCTTATTTTTCATTTAATTACAAAGTAAAGTAGACTTTTCGTTTCCATAATACCTTCATATATCGGTTAGTTGAAAATCATCGATTACAGAGGCAGCAATTAATTTTTTATGTAAATGATACTTGAGACCTAGCGGAACCGTCAGTTATCTCGGTGCACATCTCAATTGGCAATATTATACATATATATATGTACTACTGTGTGTGTGTGTGTATATATATATATATAAAATTATATATATATTATATTATACAATAAAATACAAATTGTATTATACAATATATACAAATTGTATATATATATATATACAATATAATACATTTTATATATATATATATATGTACTACTGTGTATATATATATATATATACACACAAAATAAAGTGCAAATGATAATTCTTGACATGCGCTCTGTTACACGGTATCACTTTGCTTTGTTAAACTTTACGTTTTAGTTAAACAACTGGTAGAGAAAAAGTGTGCAAAATGTTGAAAGAAAATTATAACTCTGATATACAATTACTGTAAGCTCGTGTCAACCATCTGGGGAAATCTCAATTTCAGGGTGATGGTATTGGGAGTCGTGACGTCGGCGACGTTTATCTCGCTGCCGTTCGTCAGGCCCAGTTCGATCAGAGTCTTGGACAGATTCTCGCGAGTTTTCTCCTCGATGCTCGATACCATTTGCATATACAAGGTTCTATTTTTACCGCCTATGGTCGCCGTGACACCGGGACTCTTCATTTGCAAATCCGGCCGTTCGCTCAAAAGATCTAGTAGGTCTTGCAGTTTGCACTTCAGGTCCTTGATCTCGATCTCCCGCGGTACCTGACTGCACGCCAGACAGTCGTCTTTTTTCTCTGCCTCGTAAGTGTACGTGTAAACTCCGTCCAGATTGTTCAGCACCTGCAAATAAGATTTACATCCGCTACATCTTGAACTGGAAATTGGTCTCACTATATAATTGTGGCTCGGCTTTCGCGTTGTAAAAATACAAGTATGTGCAAATGCAACAATTTTACGAACAACTTGATATTCATAATTAATTTATTACTAGTTTTTCGTTTTTAGAGAGTCACGCTTTTTACCATGTAATTGTTTAAGAACGCGCTGCAACTGGTCGCGAGTTTAAACGCCTCCGTCGCGCAAATCGCGGCGATCACGGCATTCGTTGACGCCACAGCCGGTATGATATTCTTCACGACACCTTGCACAAGCCTGTACGTCACGCCCTGTATGCCGAATTGCGCCGCTCTCTCGCTCGACTTCTCATAAATCCAGTTTATATGCTGAGGATCGTCTCCGTCGATTGTACAGTCGAACGGGTTCTCCCTCGGCCATTGCACCACCTTCACGTATTCTATACAGTGCTCCGGCAAACGTGGAGTGTTGGCTATCGTACATAAAGGATACGTGACCTACGCGATGTACAAACAACCCTCTAACATACAATACGAACAAATTTGTTGACAATATCGAGTTCTAAGAAGATTTGAAATACAGAGAGAGATTGATATTTACCTGCGGAGGATAGAGATCCAACGTACATTCAATACACGGACTGACGCCGGGCAATATAACTCTAGCATTTCCCTTGAAACCTTCGGTACCACCGTCAATCAGCGGTATGATACTGGTCCTGTCCAATTCGCCGTCCTCGTAGACGAGCAAAGACAACAGCATGCCATTCAGCCATCTCCTCGCCACAATCGAATCCAGTCCGCAGATTACTATGTGGAACTGTTGGTAAAACGCCTCGTCTTTGGCTTGTATCTCGCAATTGTGCGCGATCACATTGCACCCGGGAATTCTGGAGTTAATAAACTTCGCAGCCACCTCAGCCTTGTAGAAACCAATGTCTTTGTGGCGAAACAAAAACTGCCTGCAATATTCACATCGTCTTTTATATATGAAGTGCTTGATGTGACTTATTTGCGCAAAGTTAAAAAGTGCTAGGAAATACACAACCTGTGACAAACAATTCTCGCGTAAGACGAGATAGAACTCGACAGATAATTCTTTTTCCGTAAGAGTAATTGCGATCGTTAACCTTGCAAATTCGAATAATCGTTTCACATACCGGTTCAGATTGGACAATTCGATCGTGTCCATGTCGATCACTTGGATCTGTCTGAATCCCATCAGGGCGAGATTCTTGAGCAACTCGCATCCGAGACCACCGGCGCCGACGACGAGCACCTTGCAGTCCTCCAGAAGAAACTGAAGGCTCTCAGAGGAGGGTTCGAAATCTGGCCGGCAAAACGGGCCCGATCTCTCCAACACTTTCCGCAAATTGCTCCACCGTCTGTGCGTTTGATCAGAACCCATCGTCGCGATCCGATTAAATGTTTCAAGCAAGGACAAATCAAGTTTCTCGACGAGTCTCGACGAATTCGTGATCAGATGCGCCAGACCTACCGGAGGAAAAGATTCGCGCTCTTAACCTTCTGTATCTCCTTCAGATCAGATACTTCTCATTTTCTCTGAAATATCAAATTGCGATTTCCCTTTTCCTTATAATGTGATATACGTGCTAAAAACAGTTCTTTTTTTTTTAAATACTTTGCAAATTAACAATAATTGCAGCAAGACGACAAGCCATCTGTTTGTTCACCCAAATGCCATCTGCAACCTTGCAAACTAATCAACGTTCCAACGAGGTCTTCACCAATTTTCACCAATCGCACCGGTGAGTTTGACCAATCGACCAATCCTGTCGCTCCTTTAAACGTGACGTTGTGCGTACGACACCGGCGCATGTGGTGCGATCTAGTTTACAAATTGATTGGCTTTTAATTTCTTTCGCAAATTTTACACGAAAAATTCTGTTTTTTGTCCATATTTATTTATCGAAACATCAACAAAACCGTACAAATAAATATTTTACTCTTAAATAAATATATTACCTCTGTTTTGTTTAATTTCTCATGTCACTCCCTGCAGCTGTACAAGCAATTGTTGTTGTAAATACTTTTGTTGCGGGCCAAAGTTTTCACGTAGTTCATTCAATTGTTCTTGTTAGCTCGAGTTGTTCCAGAAAAGGGTCAGCGCAACAATTGTTACAGAAATTCGCGAGAAAGCGAATATTCCAATTACCGTTTGTCGAAAAGGTCGGAGTCGTCGTCCGAACAAACAACAACGTCATCAATGACAGCTTTTTCCTCTGTCCAATCAGAGAAGTAACTGTGACGTCACACGAGTTTGCGCGACTCTCTCCCCGAGAGAGGCTCTCCAGAGCGAATTGGAAATACACCGGACGACGAAAGGTGGGGTGGGGGGGGGAGGGGGCAGAACCCCTGAAAGCAAGAGATCAGAAGCGACATCTAGGTGCGGTCTTGACTGGCGAGTTGAGGTGCTTGGGCAGTATAGCACTATGCACATTGCTGTTTAAAATGGCGTCGAGCTCGGAGCTGCTGGAATATTCGTCCCCGGCGAAGCGTCGAAAGGTCGAGGGCGTCGTCGATCAAGGAAGTGCCATCACAGCATTAGCGGACTCGCGGCCCGACAAGACGACCCACGACAGCTCGCACGACGATCCCGAAGGTATTGGAACCGTCTAATTCGCGCGCTAATAAAACAACGCATCGCGAAATTCGCGGGTGCTCGCACGCAAGATGGCGGCCATCGAGCGCTTTTTGGCCCGCCGTCGCGTTCGCGGCCTCCGCGTCCTATCGTCGACGAGAGGCCGCCATGACAGTCGCGGCTGATAATTGCGTCGCAAATTTCTCGCCCGTATCCCGAGCGATCGTTCACGACGGCGATCTGCGAACAAGCGGAAAATTGATCCGCGCAAAAATTTTTGCTTATTTTCTCGTTTTCTTTTTGTTGGAATGCGAATATTCGGATTTTTCGTCAAGTTAGTCGATCGATCGATCGAGAATTTCGTAGACGCGCGGGATACGCACGGCGTATCGACGTTCGCGTATTCCTCGTCGGCGTTCCTAGATGGCGGTCCGAAATGTAGTTTAACCGCGTCGTCTTCTCCTGTGTAACCTGGGTCATTAGCTCGCTCTCGCTTCCTCTATCTTCTTCTTCGTTGCCTACGTAGTTTCGCTCGCACTCGCACATCGAGCGCGGCGAACGTGCGTGCATTTCTCTGAACGGGATGTGGAACGGGTGTCTCTCGCATTGCTGCGCGCGATCTCCCGCCATTTCGTTGAGTCGAGATATTTGGCGGAATGTTCGAATTTTTAACGCGGAGAATCAAGATAAATGATACACATTGGTATTTCATTTTTAAACAGCGCGATTTTTCTTCAAAACATTTTTAATTTAAAGACGTATGTAGCGATTTGATGTAAATATTTAGCGATAATTTAGTTTTTTGTGTAAAAATATCTTACAATTTATTTGGTTATCTATATATCAGATATTTAGAAATAATATTATTAATTTGTAATAATAGCATTTATATGTTAAATATTTTATACATTATATAGATTAAAGATTACTTTTTAATAGTATTTATTTAATAGTATTTATTTAAATATTTTACAATTTATGTATTTGTTGTAAACTAAGTGTTTAGTTTTTTCTAGGTTTTAAATGTGTTTTAGGTGAAAAGTATTAATTTTATAAAATTAATTACTATAAATTAGGACAAATTTATACACAGCTTAAGAAATTTTTTGTTACTAAAATTGTTAATAAAATTTAATTTTGTTTTTTTTCGTAGAAACACTTGGCACCGACAGCGGATTTAACGATCTGAGTGACGAGTCCAAGTCAGCCTCCATTTCTCCGGCAGCTACAAATCTGATATCACCATCATCCAGAGTTGATTCCACAAGTAACGATACCGAGTGTCCGTAAGTTTCAATTTGCAAGTAATTTTTTTTTCTAAGTTTTATGACGGATCTAGTTGTTCATTTGACAATCCTTAAGTTTCAGGGTTGACACTGCAGACGAAAAGGACGAAGTATCATCCACAGTGTCCAATTTGTCAGACTTATCAGGCTTATCCGAACTATCCGGAGAAGCAGATGCCAGTCCTCCTTGGAGAAACGCTTCTTCCTGGATTCAGAAACAGATGTTGACAGGCGTGGATCCCCGAAATCTTCTGCACCATCTCCTCACGGATTCCACACAAATACCTGAACAGGTTGATGACTTTACACTATGGAAAGTGAGCAAAATAGTCGTTTTGTTTTTTTTTGTTTTGGTTTTTTTTTTCTATATTAAAAAACTTTTAATACAAAAACACAGAGACTAAATGTTTTGCATTATTTTTCAGATCATAATCAACATGATGTCGGAACCGCCGAGACGGCACAAGCTCAGACACATAAACACCTTGTCAGACGTCGTGCGATTAATTCGCTGCAGCAAGAAGATCATAGTACTGACCGGCGCGGGTGTGAGTGTCAGTTGTGGTATTCCCGACTTTAGAAGTAGGGACGGTATTTACTCACGACTGGCCCAAGACTTTCCAGATTTGCCGGACCCGCAGGTACTTTAGAATCATCGGGATTTTATATACACAAACGCGCGCAGTTTTTTTGTACTTCGAATATTATAGTTTTCAAACGTAACGACGTTGAATACCGAAGTTGACGCACGTATCTAATTCGGGATTCGATTTGTTTTCAGGCTATGTTCGATATCAATTACTTTAGTCAGGATCCCAGACCGTTCTACAAATTTGCGCGCGAAATATATCCCGGACAATTTAAACCCAGTCCTTGCCACAGATTCATCAAAATGTTAGACAAGCAGAAAAAGCTTCTGAGAAATTATTCGCAAAATATCGATACGCTGGAGCAAGTTGCCGGTATCGAAAATGTAATCGAATGCCATGGTAAGTACGGCTCATCGTACGGAAGTCGAGCGTTTGTTACTTTGAAAAATCCGAATAAAAAAAAGAAGTGAAAAAAAAATTTAAAGAAACTTTCGGGTTCTCCAAATTCTAATAAGAAAATTAAGTCATACGAGCCGCTTTTGCAGGATGTTATGCAGAAATATATAGGATATGTATACACATATGTATATATCGTCACTCCCTACGTAAATCCCGTAACTCCAAAACGCAAATTTTAGAGGAGAGCAGTTTAAAAGTTTGAAGCTTCATATAGTTTCCCTAGTTAAGGGATCTTTCGGTTTTAAATTTTTACCATACTTATGAATATTTTTTTTTAATACTTGGTGACCACAAAGAACATGACTTTCTGAGTGTTACTATGCAATAAACTGAAAATCCCATATGTGACACTTATGTAATTATACGTAAGGAGTGACGATATGTATTCACGTGCAAATTACATGTGAAATTTTTAAATTGAAAATACAATTCTTAAATTCATATAGGATGCTAGTTCTGCATCACATATATGATAGACCCCGAATACCCCCCTAACTAATTTTTAAAATATCTCTTCCTTAACAGGGAAGGCGACGGCCCGGAAAGCCGGAGATTCCAGGTTCGACTCCTGGCTGAGGAGTTTTTTTCGCAATATTTTAAAAATTAGTTAGGGGGGTATTCGGGGTCTATCATATATGTGATGCAAAAATAGCATCCTATATGAATTTAAGAATTGTATTTTCAATTCAAAAATTTCACGTGTAATTTACATGTGAATACATATATATGTGTATACATATATATATATACTATATTTTCTGCATAACATCCTGCAAAAACGGCTCGTATGACTTAATTTTCTTATTAAAAAAAATTTGTTTACTGAGAATTTTTTGTGTGAACGTTCATCGAGATTTTATATTGTGGTTTTATATTGTGAATATTTTTTTATCGTCAAAGGTTCTTTCGCCACCGCGTCGTGCACAAGATGTAAATACCAAGTCAGGGCGGACGACATCAGGGAGGACATTTTTGCCCAGAGGATACCCACGTGTCCGAAGTGCCGCGTCAACGCGCTCCCCTCGCTCTCCGACTGCAGCGAAAACTACAGAGGTAAATAAAAGACCGTGTTTCGTCGTAATACTCGCTGATGATGCATTTATTTGCAGTCTTGCGTAATGTGGCATGTCAATTTCAATACGAATATGGAAGCGTTAGCTATCGTTTAGTGACAGTTTTCCGTTGTTAGCCTTTGGTTAGGTCGCCAATGAGAAAACGTTGCTCTTCGTGTGGAATACGTCTCGAACTAAACGAAGTTACTGATCCAACGATATATAAGTCGGTACATCAATCGTAACTGCAAATAAAACTTCGCGCTTGTTAATTAGCGCATGAAGGTAAACTTAATCGAATCGCGCACTTACCGTGCATAAGTTGCTAATACGTTTCGCGGTTCAGTTCTTCCAGCTACTAATTTTGTCGCCGTTTCCTTCTCAAATCGGTAACAGAGTTCTGTGTTACGATTGAAGACAGAACGTAAAGTTTTATAGAAAAACCAAACTTTTTATCTCATTTTGGATTGCTGTTATTAATTTAACTGAATTAAATCGATGCAATGTTAATTTTGAAATATTTTACCGGGACAATTTTCAGATCTGGTGTCTCAAGGTATAATGAAACCGGATATCGTGTTCTTCGGCGAAGGACTTCCGGACGCTTTTCACGACGCGATGGCCAAAGATAAGGACGATTGCGATCTTCTGATCGTTATCGGGTCGTCCCTAAAGGTTCGACCGGTAGCCTTAATTCCCTCATCCATTCCGTCGAACGTACCGCAAATTCTTATTAATCGAGAACCATTGCCGCATCTCAAGTTTGACGTTGAACTATTGGGCGATGGTGACATAATTATAAATCAGATATGTCATTTGTAAGTAGAAGTTTTATGTATAAGTTTGATTTTTGATAATAATAAGTTTAATATTTTTTTTGTGTATTTACTTGTAAAAATATTAAGAATTTTCTTGAGTTGTTTTTTATTATATAAAATTTTTTTTTCAATATCTAAAAGAAGTTTACGATAAATTTCGATTCCTGACGTTTTTCTACAGAATGGGTGACACTTACAAAGAGGTTTGCTGGCACGAAAAAGTACTGAAAGAAGCACCGCAACTTTTACCATATCAGTGTCTGTCCGACGACACGTGGGAGCAGAGTCAGGACACAACAACCAACACCGAAATGTCGCGCGACAGCGTAGAAGTCGATTTAAAACCGCACGCTGTATCGTCGACCGAGAGTCAAGACAGTCTGCTGATCACCACGAGTGCGCTTCCGCAGCACACCGAGGACTTGAATGTCTGTGTGTCGCCATTCTACACAGGTCACGTGGAAAATGTAGAGGAGAGTTTCAATCTGTTGGGAGAGAGTCCAAAGAGGCGATCGGGTGACACCAGTATAGAAAACAGTCCAAAGAGGATGAACTTCGGTTCGAACGACGCGGAAATCACCAGTTCCACGACGCTCGCGAAAACGAACGTCGATTGCTCGATGATGTTGCCGGAAAGCAACATCCTCGCTGCCGAAATAAAAAACAATTTGGAGGATTGTCAAGTGGTGCCGTCGGTGATAACGTCTCTCACTTCCGAAGCTGTTGTGAGCGAGAGCGTGTTCGAATTGCCTAAGTCGCTGGACAACTGCGACAAATCGAGCAAGTTCGACGATATCGCGTTAGCGGATCCCGCGGTCGAGACGGACAAAACAACGCAGAAACCGAGACAAGCGTCGGTTGATTCCGTGTTGGATTCCGGCATAGGTGACAGTTGCAACAGCATCGATAGCACAGAGGAGAAATTCGCTGAGCTGAAGAACGGAAGACTGGAGAGGCATTGTTGGCAACCAAAGATTCGAGAAAGCCTCGCCGCTAGACTACCAGGTATGTATCTTTTTATGTTTCTTTTGCATGCGTGTGCGTATCTCGGCATTTTCATGAATGATCGACACCAAATGATCGTTTACAGAAAACTCTTATTACCAACTGGCCCCGGGCAGATACATTTTTCCCGGCGCGGAAGTTTATGCCGAGCCTGAGGACTTTGATCGATATTCCCTGTCGGCGAACTCCGAGAGCACAGACAGCGATAGCGACTCTTCCTCGGGCGAAGAGGAAGAGGATGAAGAGGAAGAGACAGGTAAGTTTGCAACTTATCTGCTGATGTTTTGTGTCTTATATTTTTTTTCATTATTTGATTTATTAACGTAACGTTTGTAATACCTTCAGGCGCGGACGATGATCTCTCAGAGAACGCGGACGCCGATGCGGACACGGACGGGCAAAACGCCGACGCCAAATGGGCGAGTAACTCTTACGGCGCGCAGCATTGAAGCTGTTGCTTGCTCGCAACACGGTTAGTTTCGAGTTTGTCATTACTTCATTGACATTCATTCGAGTTTGTGAGGATCTCAGGCGCGGAACGATGACTGGCTCGATTGTCAAGGGCGAATGTCATTGAATGTTGCGTGCATAAACGGAGTACAATGAAAATCTGTTAGGGATATTGACAACGTTGTCTGATAAAGAATTGTAAAACAAACACGCGTTAAGTATTGGCGTATCCTACATAGATGTGACGTTTTTTTAGGATCGTTGAAAACACCGCACAACTGTGAGAAATAGATAGTCAATTTGCTTTCTGTTGCTGCTCGCAGTTGTCGGAAAATTACAGCTGTAGTTCTTTTAAAAAATTCTTTTTAGAAAAAAAAAAAAACGTTTTAAGACATTCTCTTATCCAAAAAATTAGAAGGTATACACAAATTATATAGTAGCGTTAACTCTTTTTATGTCCGTTTGCGCACGGCCGAAAGTTGTTAGAATTTTTTTTCATTCTAAAGAACTTAGAAAATTTGACGCGGTATGAAAGGGTGCGATGAAGTTACGTTGAATTGTGTGTGTGTGTGTACAAATGCTTGAAAATAAGATTTTTTTTTTCCACGGACTGCATGTCGAGCAAACTTTAAAAGAGACTTTAGTACGTAAATAAGACATCGTTCGCAATTACACAAGAATTCAAATTCGTAGGATTATGAGCTGCACACAGTGGTTAGATGTGTGTATATAGATATATTTAATCCAAAGTTGAAGTATTTTTCTCAAGACATTTTCCCCCTCCTCTCCTCCCCCAAGAAGCACGAAGCGTAACTGGGAGAGCTAACCGAGACACAGAATTGTGCTTTTTTTTTTTTTTTTTTCCACCGATTCTTACCGTATTCCGTATTGGATTTGCGGTATTCACGATCAATGTATATAAGAAGTATCATTAATCCTCGCCACGTACAGAAAAACTACATGTGTGTACGACGAACAAACTGTTCATTCAGTTTTAACGGTACAACTGTCGATTCTTCGCGATTCTTGTCCGCATGTAAAGTGCTTACGTACGGGAAACGACGTCGGGATTGCTTTCAGCTTACCGCACTAATCTGATATGAATTACTACTGTTTTATGAACAATCTATTTAACCTACTTCTATTTAATCTACCTACTTCTCGCACTGTAAATAGATACCGATGTTTTTTCCAAACAAGTTTCCTTGTCTCCGCGAAGAGAGCGACACGCAACATTGAAGGAGGAGGAGGAGGAGGAGGAGGTTATACTTTTGCCCTACTTTTAGATGTGTAAATATGAGATTATTATAATCACGTAAATGTGTTACTGTGTCACACAGTTGATTAAAAAAAAAAAAAAAAAAAGAAAAAAAAAACTTGTGGATTGTTGCGTTTAATGTGAAGTAATAAGACAACGGTGTTTCTCTCCAAGCTGATAAAAGGTCTGCTCGTTTTAGCATATCTCCTATATATAAGATGAAACAAGTAAATTGTGCTCACACTCCGAAACAGAAGAAGAGAATATAAACGCGCGAGAGATTCAGAGATTTTAGAGAACGTAGGCAGGTAAAAAGTGCAGCAAAAATTTAACGGATCTAATTTGATGCATTCTATGAAGATAAAAAAAAAAAAAAAACATCATGGTATTTTAATATATCAGAAGAAAAAAATATTAAGACAAAAGTGCGCGCACGTATGTGTATTTGTGTGTGTATGTGTGTATGTGTAATTAAGATGAAAACGCGCGTGAGAGAACAGCCGCGAGGAATGTCTTCGGTGAAGCTGTGAATTGCAGATTAAATCGAAGAAGAGGCGTTTTTTTTTGCAAGGTTCTCTTTATTTTACAATATCGATCGGACAGAAAGAGAGAGAGAGAGAGAGAGAGCGAAAGAGAGAATAAATAAATATAGCGGTGGAAAGAACGTTTCTTTTTTTTTTTTTTTTTTTACGATAAAAGAACGACTAAGAGACTAATTTAAAAGCAAGAATATTAATTATATTTTATTCCTGTATTGTATCATTGCGTCGATGTTTCCGTTGTTCCAAGGAATTAGAATTGTTAGTGTGTTGCGTTCACAGAATCCTCGTTCTTGCAATTTTAATGCGAACCGAGGAAAAGAACGATAGCAAATTTATGTCGTAGGTTTATTTAGGAGGTGAGAGATTTTTTTCCACTTTTTTTTCGCACGTGGTTGTTTTATTGCAGGATAGATTTACGAAACCACGTCGCATATAAATGCAATCGATTTATATTGTATTTTTTTTAATAATATCGGAGATTAGCCTTTACGTCGATAACCGGCAGTTGCATTCGCGGTTTCTGTGCCGTACATGTTTATTGCATTAATTAATTAAGTTTCTGCGAAAGAAAGAAATAGAGATATAATTATCACACATAGTTTGGCAAAAAACAAATCACAGAACAAAAACAATGAACTTTTTTTTTTTTATAGATTCAACGTTAAGTTCGACTTTGTTTCATTGGAGCACGGGCGAATGTACAAAGCAATGTTGGATAAGCTTCGCATTGCGTGTTATTTTTATATGAGCCAGAGAAAAAGAATAGAATAGAATCGAATTTACAAGATTTAAAAACAAAATGACGCAATAATCTTTGACAAACCGGATCGCGCAGCGCCGCATTGTAGGATGCGATGACTAATAAATTGGGGATGCGAGGCGACGCGAGAAATTCGCGGGGATGAGTTCGCTAATAGATTTTATATTGTGCACATTAATTAAAAAAAAAAAAAAAAAAAAAAAAAAAACACACAAAGACAGAAAAAAGAGAAGCGGTCTTGTCAAAGTTTATTATTGCAAACTACGTATATGTGTAAGAAAAAATGGTTGTGTGCAAGTTTATATTATATATGTATACATATGTATATGTATAATTTAAAATGGACGTAAACTTACTTTGATTCAATGCTGTTCGGGCATTGTGTGAGTAATGTTTGAAATTGCAAATAAGAAGATAAGTGAAAATGTATGTATATACGCGTGCGTAGATGTGTGTATGTGGATGCACGAGCGAAAAAGAACGAGTGAGAGAGATAAACAAATGACAGATTAAACACATAAGCGTATGTAATACATTTGTAATCACGTGGCGCATTAGATTTTAATTTTTCTCGTTGTTTTCTACTAGGTGTGAGATATTTTATATGAAAGATTTATGTTTATTTTGTTGTGTGTTGGATGCATTTCTGTATTACGATAATGATTCGTAGAAAGACTTAGCTGCCACCGTAAAGTACTAGATTATTATTTTTTTTTGGTTCCTCGCGACACACAAGAGATATATATTTTTTTTTTTTTTTTTTTTTTTTTTATTGTAATTAGACCACGCGAGAATTATCTTTCGCTTTGTATAAACAGCTTTATTTATCATCGCTGCTAAACGATACGAGCGGAAGGAAGATCATTTATTGTCTCTTTTTATTTATTTAATACATATGTGTATGTACATTTGTGTATTTTTACGAGTGTGTTGTAATACATACGCGCGTGAGCCTGTGTGCGAGCCGGTGTGGTTTCCAAATCTGTGTCACTCGTGCGTAATTCTGATAAATATCGTTTGGAAACCCGCGCGAAACTCTCTGTGATCGACTAGATTACACACATGATATTGCGTTTTTTTTTTATGTCCGAGTATAGGAGTTTCATCAATTAATTATTGTGACGCGTACCCGCAATATATAATCGCCGCATAGATTCGTATAAATAAATTTAGTTTTTTGGAGATTTGTATTTTTTACTTAATTATTTTTTTACTTACGCGCTCGCTACTTAAATGAAAAAAAAAAAAAAAAAAATTCAAGTCCGACGATCGCGGGACTTGTGTCATCAATTGATCATTGTGTCATCAAGCACGTCTAAATCTCTCTATCTGTATATTTATTTTGTACGTGTAAATTTTGTGATGTACGTATGTATGTGCGCGGGTCCTTTCTCAATCTTCTCTCGCGATTACGTTCCCTTCGAAGGAACTGTAGCAGTTGTTTCGAGTAAAAAAAAAAGTTGTTTCCTTGCCTCCGCGAGATTTTGTTACGGGAGGTAATCGATACGGAAGATTAAATTTGCAGGACGCTCTGCGCACATACGTATGTACGCGTATTATTATTATTATAAATAAAATATTTGTAGTCGATTCAGAGAGAGAGAGAGAGAGAGAAAAAGAGGGATATAAAGAGAGAACGAGAGTGAGAGTGAATGAGAGGAGAGAGAGAGAGAGAGTTGTCAACTCTTGAAGGTTTGACAATCAATACCAACTTTCTTGTGCAGTACTGAGAAAAAAAAACCTGTATAAAATAAATACACTGTCACATGTAAATAATTTATTATTTTTACTGTATTTCGCGAATTTTGTCGCATCAACGGAAATATCGGGCGATGAATGAGGGGCGCACGAGGCTGTTCCTTTGCATTTTTCCGAGATCTATACATCAGCCGTCGCAATACAAATCAATCTGATTTTCAAGCTGATGCGACGAAATACACGAACCTCTGAATTTTTTATAATTTGTTATTTAATGTAATGATGTTATAAAAAATGTTCTTTATCAACAGACGTTGTAAGTTTTGTTTCTTTTGTATTACTAACGTATAAGCTTATCTCTTAAATTAAACATTTTTCTATGATAAAATAGTTTGTGTTACTTACTCTTTTCCCTTTGTTGACCAGATCTTTGTCGGGAGAATCTTTAGAAGAATCGCGGATCTTCGGTGAATTAAGTTATCGCGTGATTGGTCAATTTAAATAAACGGAATCGTGAGAAATGAATTCGAATAAATGACAAATGAGCAGTGTAGTTGTTTGAGTTGCATCTTGCAATTAATTTTTTGAACAAATTTCCGCGCATTCAATTCCAAAAGCTTTTTTAGTAGCAATTATTTACTAATAATTATATAATTTTTTCATTTACGCGCTTAAACAGGAATCAAAATTGCACGCGACAAAACTGGAGAGCAAATTCATTCGAATTTGCAAAAAAAAAAAAAAAACAAAAGATGGGGGAGACATGGGGTGATAAATAAACGTGTGAAGAAGAAATAATGAACTTGTCATTATATTCATTTATTTACTTTATTGTTATATATATATTTATATATATATCATATAATAGAGTTTTATATCATATATCGCAGTTTATCATAAATCAAATTTGAAAATAGGCTTTAAATTATAACAATATATTCTTAGATAATAATTGAAGCGCTCCCTGGAATATAGGTCAAAAAGCCCTCGTGCGATTTCCATGAGCTCTATCATCATCATAATCATCATATTCATCATCATCATCATCATCATCATCATATTCCATCATCATCATCATAATCATCATTATCTTTATCATCATTATTAAGAAACTTACGCGCGTGTGTGTGTAACGGGGGACCGTTTCAATTACAGTATTACGGGTGCTATGCATTGAACACTTGCCTGAAATCCCCGCCAAGAAAAGATTTTTCAAAATGTTCAATCGAAATGAACATTTCGTATATATTCGAGTTGTGTATTACCTATTAATGTAATGTTCGTTATTTCATTACTAAAAGTCCAGCCGAGAGAAATGTGGATGTCGGTTTCTTTCTCTATCTTCTGATTTTTTTTTTTTCATCTTTCTTTCCTATATAATACTTAAATGTCCTGCGTGTGTGACTGCGCGTGTACATGTGTGTGTGTGTGTGTGTGTGTGGGTGTGTAATATAATAACCATAATATAATAATAAACATTATTACCACCACAGCAATAATAATATTATAATAGCACTGTCGCACTAGGGACGCACAGCTATACTTTTACGCGTTTTGGGCGGCCCACTACCACTTTATTTAACAATGAAACAGTATTCATTGATCTTGAATAGGATCGGTATACATAATTGTAATATATTATATAGTACAGAGTGTTTTCTTGTGTGTTTCTCTTTTTTTTTTTTTTTTTTTTTTTTTTTTTTTTATCGATTTTTCGCGTCATATCTCGCGATTGGCTTACGTAAATTCGATTTGTTTTTCTTCGAAAACCTGGTCATTTTGTTTTTGGTTTTTTTTTTTTTTTTTTTACGCGTAGCGTGTGTACATACTCGTGTGTGTTTCTCGTTACATGCGTGTTGTTTTCTTCATGTGCGCGCGATAAAAATTCTCGCTACGAATATCAACGTATAATAAATCTATACGCGTGTGTGTGTGTGTGTGTGTGAGTGTGTGTGTATGTTTATCTGCTCGCAATTAATCGAAGTGTGAGTTCGGTGGATTTTTATCCTGATTAGTGTTTGTTCCTACAGAAAAAAAAAAAAGAAGGTGTGTGTTGTTGCACGATGTAACGTACTTGAGAGACAACGGCTGGACAACAGAGAAAAATCCTCAAGTGTATGTGATCAAGTATGGAAATTTGTTTGTCGTATTTTCGTATTTCGTTCGCATTTTATAAATTTTCGGTTGTTTTCGCTCCCACAGTCAAGCAAGCACCGGCGCTGACGGGACACACTTTGCTCGGCACACACCAAGACGAGCACACTCGGAACGCGATCGGCAGATCGAGGATTCAATAAAAAGGAACGCTTTTGTTTTGTTTTCTATTTATCAAGAGATAAACTAACTCGGCGCACGCGCGTGCGCGCGACCACGTTTTTGGAACAGTCAGAGGCTCAGCGAAGTGACGGTTCAAGCGTAAGTGCAAAAGTGGAAGAGGAGTAATGTGTGACCCTTAGCTTAGAGAATGAAGTTTCAGTTCCTCTGTCTTTCGGGTTTTTTTTTCTCCTAAGGATTTCGCTTTTTTTTTTTTATTTTTTTTTTATTTCTTTTTTCAATCGCGTGGAAGTAAAATCGGAATCCCAATTTGTGAAGCACTTATTTACATGTCTTGTTAAATATTTTATGGTGGCAATTTTCTCGTCATCGACAAACGAAGCACGGCGTTGTACTCAACATTTTTTCAACGAGTCAGAATTCAAAAGTTTTTTTTTTTTTTTTTTTTTTTTTTCTAGAACGTACAATTCTAAATGTTTTTTCATTGTAGCAAAAGCCGCGAAGTGTCGAGAAACGAGTGCGAGATCTTCTCTTTGTGTGGACAATATTACGCACTCAGATTGTATTTCCGCTGAATAAAAGAGAAAAAACAAAATCATCATTGTGTTTTTTTTTGTTTTCCTCACGTCAATATTCAGATACAGTGCAGACAGTGCGCGCATAAAAATTCATAAATTATGCGCATCTGTCGACAAATCTATGTATACAAAATACTCCGGTGCCATCGTTTTACCATCCGCGTGAAGTCAAGAAACAAAGCACGGTTTGTGGAAAAGAAAACAAAGCAAAGGCGTACATCAGTGTATCGAGCGCCGTTTCTTTTGTTTCTGGTAGGGTTGACAGTGGTTTCGTTCTCCCCTTCTATTTCTCACGCTGTCTTTTTTTATAATTAATATATATATATATATATAT